TTGGCGCTCCTTCCGCGGTCCGCGGGCTCGCGCCTCCCCCGGATTTGGGTTCCGCGCCGTTTTTATCGCCTGCCGGCGGGAGGAGGCGAGCTAAGCTCCCGGTGTTGCTCTCCCGCGGCCACTGTTAGAGGCGTCCGGTGTGCCGCCTCCAGGAGGCTTGGTTGGCGCTCTGAGGGCAGCTGCAGCGATGGGGAAGACGTTGCCCAGACAGCGCGCTCTCAGTGGAGCGTCCTGGTGAAAAGAGCCTCTGGGTTCCGTATCCAGCAGGAACACAACTTTTCTCCCTTTTAGTCTGCGCCCTCCTGGACTGCTCTTCCCCCAGATCTCACAGCATCAGCGAGGCCTGCCCTGCCTGGCCTAGTTTATCTCCACCCCCTTTATTCGGCTCCACTTAATCATTTTTTTCCTCCTTCCCCTTTCACATCGTTCAATCTTACTTTTCTGCCTATTGCGTCTCCCAGGCAGAATGTAGTAAGCCCCAGGAGGGCACTGGCTCACTGCTGGATTCCCCAGTACCCAGAACCCAGAATTCCAGAGGAATTTTTTGGGTACCTGTTTTCGAAAGTTGAGTTCTGCTAGAGCTAAGTTTTAGTAACTTCAGACTCATTCACAAGGCAGCTTATAAGCAAATCCCCGAGCACCTGTGTGAAGGCTCTGCAGGGCAATACCAGATGGGAGGAGAGACAGGCAGGGCGACAAAGAAATAATTTAAAAAATGGACCCTCCCACCCTGGGCGTTGTGGAGCATGATGGTAGTTTCTTCTAGCCAGGAGCTAAGGGGAGAATGGGGAAGTAGGTAGAGATTCAGACAGCCACAGACAGGCAAAACAGAGCCCTTTTTATAGAAAGGACTGTTAAGAAATGAACTCCAAAACAGAAGTTCCAACTCTAAGAAAGGTTCAAAATAGAGCAAGCAGTGTTTGGAAACAGTTAAATGTTGGCTAAGTTACTTTGTTGAGAAGCAGTGTGGTAGATGAAAACAGAGCTCAGTAAATGTTAGTGATTATGAGTAATACTAGTGGTTGTTTCTTAATGGAGAGTTCTATTTTTAGGAAAGGCATAATTACCTAGAAAACTATGCCCCTGGGAATGCTGGCTGTTTGAAACAGGAGATTGTCGTCAAATCAAGGCTTTACCATTTTAGCCTCATTGATACAGGCAAATTCTTTAGGAAGGAATCCCCCCCCACACACACGCTTCCCAAGCCCTGGTTTTGTAAACCCAAATTAGGAAGGGAATGGCAATTGGCATAAGCCTTTTGGGCTTCAGGCTGAAAGGGGAGTCTCCGGGGTCCCACCCTGTCTGACTTAGTCCCAAGACCTCAGAGGGGACAGAGGCATCTCCATGGTGACTGGAAAAAAGCTGCTCACAGGAGCAAAGCCAGAGACTCGATGGCTCAGGGATTATGAATAATAAAGTCGGCACCATTCCGTGGCATCATGGCTCTGAGGCTGGGCTCCAGCCCCGAGCCTGACCCAGAATGATAGGAAAAAGAAGCTGCAGGTTTCCATGGCCCCAGATAAACACAGCCTGCTCCGGCCATCTGGTGGCCTGGATTCTGGGAGAGGAGGCGGGTAGAGGAGGGAATGGAACAGGCTACCCTGGGGTGGAGAGAAGAGCAGCTGGCAAGCTCCTTTCACCTCTGCTGCTGTGAACCATGCAGAGTAGAGACCCTTCTGGGAGAAACAGGCCTGAGAGGTACCACCTGTTCCCTTAACAAATCGATCGCCATGTCACCCAAATCTGGGTGACGGTTGTCTTTTCTCAGGGGCACCTGATCCACAGTGGGCGATCACTGTGTTTAAAAAGGTGGCACTGAAGGCAGAGGCGAGGCCAGTCTTCTTCCCCTCTTTGGTCCTCCATAGGCTGAAATGATGCTTCAGGAAGGGGACATGCACAGGGGCAGGAAGAAAGAGGGAAAGAAAACATAAAGAATCAAGTCTTTTCTGGTAGCTGAGAAGCTTGTGGGCACCAAGCTTTCTCTAGAGCCTGTGAGATGGGGTACCACTCCCACGTAGAGGGTCCACAGGATTTTCCTGTCTTCTTTCTTAGAGTGTCCTGGGTCAGACTGTCTCTTAAAATTCACATTTACATGGATATCAGAAACATGCAGTATTGCATAGTGGAATTGGTCAGGTCTGGATTTGAATATTTCTATGTGACTAACTCAACATCTAAGCCTCAGGATCCCCATCAGTAAAATAAAGATTTTAAAGCTGCCTCATAAGGCTTCGGAGGGCATTCAACACATGTGAAACACTTAGTACTGCTGGCCCAAAGTTAGCAGGCAACAAAATGTAGCTGCTTCTAAGGGGTGCTAAGCTCAGCTCCTTGAAGGAACTTCTTTTTATTTTCAGAGATACGGCTTTATCTTTTTTCTCTGCAGCACTGTGGTGGGAGATCCAGTCTGACTGGCTCTAGTCTAGACCTTCTTTCCTTCTTCCAGAGGGGCTGGGCAGCAGCACGGAGCATGGCTCTTGTTATGAATGAGTGGGCAAAGCTGCCCCCTTCTTTCTAGGAGCTGCTTGCTTTCTCACCACTCCTTTTGTGCCCAGTTACCAGAAAACCCTCCCAGGCTTTCAGCTCAAGGTTCGCTGGGAGGGCTGAGGCAGACCTGTTTCCTGGGGCAGTAGGAGAGGGAACCAGTCGCCCTCCCCACAGAGGTTCAACATGTTTGGTCTTGGGATGGGTAAGGAGGAGAGAGGCAAGAGAGAGACCCTGGGGAGGCAGTGAGTAAGGACAAAGTGGTTACAGGAAGGAAGAAGGGGAGGGAAAAATACATATCCAGTGTGCAGGGGTTATTTAAAAGGCAAGGGAAGAGGGAGGGATATAGCTCAGTGGTAGGGCACGTGCTTAGCATGCACAAGGTCCTGGGTTCAATCCCGAGAGAAGAATACAGGCCACAGCTTCCTTTGCTCCCAGGTGTGACTGCTTCGGCTGTCACACCTGCAAGAGCCTCTCCATCCCACTGGAGGCAGGTCATCTGGAGGCAGGTCATAGCAGGATGGGAAAACCCGACAGCCACGTGCATGCTGTGGACATAAAACCCCCTTGCTGTTCAGATAACGTTAAGAAGCTCTATGCCAATTTGGGGCCCAGCTCTGGGCTCGCCACACCACACTATCCTCACCTCCAGGATTCAAGGAGGTCACTCCTGGCTCCTTCAGGAATATGGGGGGAGGGGTATTGGTGGAAGGTCTCTGAACATATTCCGCCATGGAAGACTTTGGAAGCTTTTCCACGTGGGATTGGGATTCACAGAGCTGGCCGAATTGTCTGTCTGGAAACCGGAAGGTGGAGAAGGCAGCAAGAAACTGAGCCCCTCAAAGATTCAGGAGCATTTTCCTTGATTTGTGAAGTTACTCGCGCTGTCAGCAGGTGTGGGCTGGGGGGTGGTCCTTGCAAAATCAGTACAGCAAGGACGGTCCACCCCATGGAGCGCCCTGCAAAGCAACGTGACTGGCGTAGCTGGTGCTGAACAAATATGGAAACTTCCAAGAGCCTGCTATTTAGAGCTGTTTGGCTGCCAATCACAGGCGAGTGAAGCTCAGGATGTGCTCCCCCCTAGCTGTGTGATTAGAAGCTGGTTATTGAGATGCAGAGACAGGACCATTTCTGCTTTTAGAATACTGGTGCGTTTTTTATTAAAGAAGAGAATAAAGCATTTGTAAATATATTTCTCTCATGTATACTTCAAAGATGACGCTGGTCGGCGGCTACAGAACTGGGGAGCAAAACAGGCAGGAGCCCCCCCAACCCATCCCACCCTACCCCCTCCACCCTAGACGACAGAGACGCGTGGATGCGGATGGACCACTGGGAGCTGCCCAGCTCCCAAGGACAAAAGGTTCCAAGATGTGTGAAAAGCAGGACCAGCCGACAGCTCTCATCACAGTGCCGTCCGGAGAGCAGGGTGGCGCCTCCAGGGAGGTCAGGCATGCTTGTTAAGAAAACCCCTTTACCCCTTAGAAACATATAAGGCATGAAGGTTCCCAACTGGGCTCCCAGCACAGAGGCCAGGGCCACTTGTTTGGCTCCTCCGATTTTCTAGGGTCTCAGGATGGGTGGTAGAAGGAACTGGGAGCCCTGAAGAATGGCTCTGGGCAAGCTGGGGACCTGGGCATCTCTTAGCTGAAGCTGGACCTTCTGAAGTCTTAACAAAAGATGAAACCCCTGACCCGGCTGGGTCCTCAAAAGCCCCTCACAAAGGTGGGAGGTTAAGAGCAGGCATTTTATGGAAAGGAGGGGACCTATTCCCCATCCTGTCCCATTTCAATACTGTCCAGTGTGGGCTGAGAATCTTGGGTGGTCCCCAGTAAAGGGGAGCAGGGGAGGATGCTGGGACTACGGGCTGGTGCACACACCCGGGGCATTCTGGGGGTGGCAGGCATGACCTGCAGTTGGGTGGGCCTGTGGGGAGCATGGATTCAGACATATCATGGTCCCTGAGATGGGGACAGGCAGAGGCCAAGCTCGGTGAATCACAGGAAGTGTGCAGAGATGGGGGGCTCCCCACCACCCAGACCCCTGAAAGGCTTAATACCCAGAAGGCATTTCTGGGACTGGAACCTGGGAAGGCTGGCTTAGTTGATTGGCTACAAATCTGCAGTGGGCTGAGGGTCTCCAGGGAGTAGCCCGCCCTCATCAGGGCTGGAGGTGGGGCCACCCAGGTGTGGCTGAGGCTTTCTGCTCTGCGTGGCAGGGGCTGTTGCTGACCTGGTCAGGACTCTGGGGATGGGACAGCTGGTGCTAAGGGAATGGCAGCATGTCACAGCTAGGGAGAAGCAGTGGATGGTCCAGGAGATCTCTGGAACCTGCAACAGCTAGCTCTGGGGTCCCCCTTCAAGTGTTTCCAGTTGTGGCAAGGGGTCAGGGAGATCTTGCATTGCAAATTCCCCCCCCCCCAAAAA